AAACTGGTCCTAGACTGAATGCAGTTAGTTCACCATCTGTTTTTGTTTTTGTTTTTCCATTTATTTTTATTAGTTGGAGGCTAATTACTTTACAATATTTTAGTGGTTTTGGCCATACATTGACATGAATTAGCCATGGATTTACATGTGTTCCCCATCCCGATCCCCCCTTCCGCCTCCCTCCCATCCCATCCCCCTGGGTCTTCCCAGTGCACCAGCCCTGAGCACTTGTCTCATGCATCCAACCTGGGCTGGTGATCTGTTTCACCCTAGATAATATACTTGTTTCAATGCTGTTCTCTCAGAACATCCCACGCTCGCCTTCTCCCACAGAGTCCCAAAGTCTGCTCTGTACATCTGTGTCTCTTTTTCTGTTTTGCATATAGGGTTATCGTTACCATCTTTCTAAATTCCATATATATGCGTTAGTATACTGTATTGGTCTTTATCTTTCTGGCTTACTTCACTCTGTATAATGGGCTCCAGTTTCATCCATCTCATTAGAACTGATTCAAATGAATTCTTTTTAACAGCTGAGTAATATTCCATGGTGTATATGTACCACAGCTTCCTTATCCATTCGTCTGCTGATGGGCATCTAGGTTGCTTCCATGTCCTGGCTATTATAAACAGTGCTGCGATGAACATTGGGGTGCACGTGTCTCTTTCAGATCTGGTTTCCTTGGTGTGTATGCCCAGGAGTGGGATTGCTGGGTCATATGGCAGTTCTATTTCCAGTGTTTTAAGAAATCTCCACACTGTTCTCCATAGTGGCTGTACTAGTTTGCATTCCTACCAACTGTGTAAGAGGGTTCCCTTTTCTCCACACCCTCTCCAGCATTTATTGCTTGTAGACTTTTGGATAGCAGCCATCCTGACTGGCGTGTAGTGATACCTCATTGTGGTTTTGATTTGCATTTCTCTGATAATGAGTGATGTTGAGCATCTTTTCATGTGTTTGTTAGCCATCTGTATGTCTTCTCTGGAGAAATGTCTGTTTAGTTCTTTGGCCCATTTTTTGATTGGGTCATTTATTTTTCTGGAGTTGAGCTGCAGGAGTTGCTTGTGTATTTTTGAGATTAATCCTTTGTCTGTTTCTTCATTTGCTACTATTTTCTCCCAATCTGAAGGCTGTCTTTTCACCTTGCTTGTAGTTTCCTTTGTTGTGCAAAAGCTTTTAAGTTTCATTAGGTCCCATTTGTTTATTTTTGCTTTTATTTCCAATATTCTGGGAGGTGGGTCATAGAGGATCCTGCTGTGATTTATGTCAGAGAGTGTTGTGCCTATGTTCTCCTCTAGGAGTTTTATATTTTCTGGTCTTAGATTTAGATCTTTAATCCATTTTCACCATCTGTTTTTGAAAATGAAGTTTCGTTGGAGTATAGCCATGCTCATTCGTGTGCATATTGTCCGTGGCTGCTTTTAAGCTACAGTGGCAGAGTTAAATAATTGTGCCATCAAAGGCTGCACTCTTTACTATCTGGTCCTTTACAGAAAAGATTCCCTGACCTCTGATGTGGACCACCCCTTCTGGTGGTCTTGAAAGACAAGAGAGAGTCTCTTCCGTTTGGAATGGCTTTAGGTGGTCTGATTAGGCTCTTAAGGTCTGTCCCTCACCTCCATCCTGTTTGATACTGAACTCATCTTGGGTTGAATGCCTGTAGGCATCTGTCCTCTTTTATATACTTATTCCTGCTGAGTCAGTCCTCCTGTTGACCTGTCTTTCTTAACCTTACCTTCCTTTGCAGCCCTATCTCTTCCATGGGAAACACACCCTAGCTTCAGTGTTTTCAAGACACATCTTCAGTGCTTTCAAGACACATTCTCTGGGTTTTATCAATACCTGACCCTCCAACCATCTACTTTCCTCTCCTTTTGCATCCGGGTTGTTGGCTTTTGCTGGAAAAATTCACACAGCTAGAGCAGTTGGTGATATAACTCTGCTAGGAATTCATGATCTCTTTCCTCTGCTAGGAAGTCTGTTCTGAATTCCTACATGACCCCAAGTTGACTCCTCTCCAAGTACATCTCACGGCTGCCCTCCCTAAACTTTCTTCTCACTTTACCATTCCTGTCCTCTTCTTAGCTATCTGAAAATGAACTTGCTTCTACATCACAAAGGGAAAAAAGAAGGCTTCGCGCAGTGAATACCGGGTCCCAGCTGCTTCTGATTCCTGAGATGAGGAATTCGTTTGTGATACCTTCTTCCTGCTTTCTTTTCTTTTCCCACATTTTAATTCATTATGTACTTTTGGCTGCGCTGGGTCTCTGTTGCTGCGCATGGGCTTTTTTCTCTAGTTGTGGCAGTTGATGGCTACTGTCTGCCGTGCACGGGCCTCTCATTGCGGCGGCTTCTCTTGTGGCAGAAGCTGGGCTCTAGGGCTCAGGTTCAGTAGTGGTGGTGCACAGGCTCGGCTGCCCCTGACAAGTGGAACCCTCCCGGACCAGGGATCGAATCTGGGCGCATTGCCATGAAGATTCCCAATCCCCGGATCACAAGGGCAGTCCACTCCTGCTCTCTTTTCAACATTTGCCTCTGAACTGTTTTCCTTGCCTATAGCTTAAACCTATTTCATCTCTGGTCTTCCTATAAAAAGAAGGAAAGAATAAAGAGAGAGAGAGGGAGAGAAAGGACGATGAGATAAAACCAAAGGGGAGGATGCAAGGAGAGAAAAATAAAGAAAGAAGAGATGATGCTGATTCTTTGGACTCTACACGCCTCGCCACCATGGCCACACATCTCTCTTTCCCTTCACAGCTGAGTTTTTGAGCACGTGCTCCTGGCTTGTCACCAGTTCCTCATAGTGTCATATGATTTACCTCCCATGAAGCTCATGAGGGTGCGCTGGCCAAGTCTCCATGCAAAGTGTCCCATTCCCATCCCCGTCTTATTGGACGCATCTGAGTTTATGATACAGTTGACCTCCTTCTTACAGCTGGCTTCACTTTGTTTGTAGGTATTGCTCTCCTCAGGTTTCTTCTTTCCTTCCCCTCAAGAGCTTTGCTTGCTGCTGCTCATCAAGAGTCGGACACGACTGAGCAACTGAACCGACTGACTGACTGACTGACTGACTGACTGACTCATCCCCCACCTTACGTAGAATTCTGTCCTTGGGCCACTCATCTCTCCTCGATGATCTCGTTACCTCTATACCACTGACTCACAAATTTCTACCCCTACTCTGGACCTTTTTTCTCAGACGCCTCAGAGTGCCTGCTAGGAGTGCCTACAAGGAGTTCCACATGCCTGGATGTCCTAAGATCATCCCAAACTGAATCCCACAAAACTCAGCTCCCTTTTACCCCCATCATGCCATTCCACATGGTACCACCCTATCCCTTATCACACTGGGTGAACCTCTGGGCCGTTATGCTCCTTGACTGGTCTCTGCCTAATTCTATTTTGGGCCTCTCAAGAGCAGGGACAACCTATTTTATCTCTGTAACTCTGCATTCAGTACACTGAGTTTGCTCAATAAACATGTGAGACAGTGGAAGTAAGGAAGATGAGGGAAAACAAGAAAGGATGGAACCTATTTCGGATTCAAGTGTTCCCGACAGAAATCACGACTAATCAGTCAATAGGTTGTCCTCTGAAATGAACTGAGGATGGGAAATTGGCTGGATAATGAAGTGCAGAAAACATTCTCCTTTTGTAGGATCTGTTGCTAAAACAATAAAAACTCATGAGGCCTGTTGAAACTCATTAAGTAGCTATGACAGATGACTTTTTTTTTTTTGACAGATGACTTTTTATTTAGTACCGATGCCTTTTAGGCTTGTAGAGTGTAGTTTGCAGAGCCTACGGCAGCTTTCTCCTCAAAACGTGAAGTTTAGCAGTAACCACTGAAGATTTTACATTTAGCACTTAGCACAGTTTCAGCTAGTACCTGAATTCTTGGTTCTTGGCAGCACTGAGAACACAGTGTGAGATGTTCTAAGTTAAAATGTTCTAGTATCAAGTGTTCTGAGAATGTTTAAGTCAGATTACTAAGCCTTGAGCAATTTGTAACACCAACTACAAAAACAGGCAAGGGAGAAAACACCAGTCACATTGTGTTATAACATAGAGGAATTATGATCTTCAGAGCCTAGATTTGAATGAATAGAGTGGCAGTCAGAAGTCATATAAAAAAGATGTGTATGTCACCCTCGGACCAGAAACTGATCAGTTATATATTGTAAATTCAGATTGTCTTAGTACCAAGACTAATGATTTTTTTTAAGTTAATTCAAGACTTTTGGAAATTTGAAATTAATGAACATTAGAATATCCCAATAGTCACTTTATAACAGTAATAGTTCCTGTACAACTGAAAACATGTCCTATAAAGTCAATTATCTACAGCTAACTCCATATTTCTCGAATTCTTCTGACAAAAACTTATTGTAAAAGTAAGCCTTTAAGGTTTAAGTCTTCCACAGGGTAAGAAAGTATCATTGAGACATTCAGTTCAGTTCAGTTCAGTTCAGTTGCTCAGTCGTGTCTGACTCCTTGTAACCCCATGAATCGCAGCACGCCAGGCCTCCCTGTCTATTACCAGCTCCCGGAGTTCACCCAAACTTGTGTCCATTGAGTCACTGATGCCATCCAGCCATCTCATCCTCTGTCGTCCCCTTCTCCTCCTGACCCCAATCCTTCCCAGCATCAGGGTCTTTTCAAATGAGTCAACTCTTCGCATGAGGTGGCCAAAGTATTGGAGTCTCAGCTTCAGCATCAGTCCTTCCAATGAACACCCAGGACTGATCTCCTTTAGGATGGACTGGTTGGATCTCCTTGCAGTCCAAGGGACATTACTAAATCCAATATTACATTAAAGTAATTCCCACAATGCAATTTGCCTTATCACTTCAAACCCTTTCCTTGTTTAAATCAAATATAACATTTTAGAAAGTTTGAAAAATAGAGGAAAAAGGGAATCTATAATCCCATCAACTTCACACAGCATTTTACAGAATTTTTTTTTTTTACTTTTATTTGCATTTATTTTCTGCAGCATTTATTCCCAGGCCATAAGTTTTTGTTTCTTCAGTTTCTTCTGGGATATCTTTTTCTTCTGTGCAACCTCTTCCTCTGGTTTAGGAACAATCTGTTCTTTTTCAGTAAGGATCATCTCAATGTGGCCGGGACAGCTCATGTAGGGGTTGATCCGACTGTGAGCTCTGTAAGTCCTGCGCTGCATCTTGGGGGCTTTGTTCACTTGGATGTGCTCAATGACCAGAGAATCTACATCTAAGCCCTTACATTCAGCATTACTCTCTGCATTTTTGAGCATGTGTAGTAAAAATTCAGCACTCTTTTTGGGCCACCGACCCTGCGTCCAGCCCCACTGTTTGGCCTGTGCACACCTACCAACTCCACCGTTGTAATGACGGAATGGCACACACTGCTTCTTTAAAGTGACATATTTCAGATACTTGGTGGCTTTTCGGATATGCATGCCCTTTATGGCCTGGGCAGTTTAACGAGTGTTCTTAAAGTGAACACGAAGATTTGAACCTCTTGATTTGCATGATTTTGTGGGGTTTTCTGGGTCTAGTGAATAGTGCACCATTTTTAGGGGTCAGCTCAGGCCACTTACCGGAAAAGCCAGAAATTTTTTAATAATTATAATTGCATATATAATTTTGTATCTTGCTTTTAAAATTAGTATTTCTCTCATGAAAAATTTTCTGTGATGTTCCTAAATAGTTATGATGGTAATTTTTATAAAATAAAATCACTACCTGAGTCGGGAAGATCCCCTGGAGGAGGAAATGACAACCCACTGCAGTATTTTTGCCTGGAGAATCCCATGGACAGAGGAGCCTGGTGGGCTCACAAACAGTCGGACATGACTGAGTAACTAACACTTTCACTTTCACCTGATATCATCTGATGATATACCATAATTTACTTAACTATTTGCCTATTGGGTAATTTAGATGAGATCCATTTTTTTACTTGGTACTGTGGATTTTTCCCCATCATACTTTGTGCTTTTATCTCACGGTAGATTTCCAAGAGTAAAATAGCTCAGTTGAAAGTTATACTTTCATAATGACTTCCCAGAGGAGTCTTCCAATAATAGTTCCCCTTGAAGTGTAAGAGTAGCAGTTTCATTGCTAATTTAGCAGGTGTTTTAAAGAGTGCTTCATCTTCATTCGTTGTTTTGTCTTATTTTAGCTTATAAACTTTGTTTTCTAGGGACTTCTCTGGTGGTCCACTGGAAAGGCTCTGCACTTCCATTGCAGGGGGCACAGGTTTGATCCCTGGTTGGGGAACTAGAATCCCATATACTGTGCAGGGAAGGAAAAAAAAAAAAACACAAAAAAACCCACACACAACTGTAAGCTTTGTTTTCTAGAGCAATTTTAGTTTACATAAAAATGGAGCAGGAAGTACAGAGGGCTCCTGGATACCCACTGCAGTTCTGCCTCCCCCATAGTTTCCCCTGTTCTTAATATCTTGCATTAGTGTAGTATATTTGTTTGATGAATGAGTTATTCATGAATGAACACTGATACTTTATTACGAACTAAAGTTCATAGTTTACATTAGGATTCACTCTTAGTATTGTACATCTTATATGGGTTTTAACAAAAGTTTAATGTCATGTGTCTGTCATGACTGTATCATACAGAAGAGTTTCATTGCCCTAAAAATTTCCTGTGCTCCACCTAGTCATTCTTCCTCCCCACAAGCCCCTGGCAACCTCTGATCTTTACACTGTCTCTGTAGTTTTGTCTTTTCCTGAGTGTTAATATAGCTGGAATCATATAAATATGTAGTCATTTTAAGCTGTCTTCTTTCACTTAACAATATACGTTTGTATTTCCTCTGTGTCTTGTGGTAGCTTGATGACTTGTTTCTTTTTTTATCAGTGAATGATAGTCCACTGTAAGGATATACCACAGTTTATCTGTTCACCCTTTGAAGAACATCTAGGTTGTTTCCAGTTTTGGCAATTATGAATAAAGCTGTCAAAAACATGTATATGCAGATTTTTTTGTATGGACATAAGTTTTCAACTCATGGGGTAAAATATATTTTTATATTTGCCTGTTATTGATTTAGACATGTGTTCTCTTCTGTCTCAGAATATATTAATGAAACATATGTTTAAACACCTTTTTCTCCCTCTAGAAACTCTTTTTTCTCCAGATTGCTTTTCATTTGTTTGTTTGTTTCGGTCCCTATCTTTTGAGTCTGAGATATTCCTCAGCTGTCTGGTGATCCTGGTTGTCTGGTCTTACTTAAGAGCAATGCCCCATAAATCTGATAAGAAGCTCTGATCTCGTGGTGAGGCCTGCCACCTGGGGGCCATTTCACTAAGGAGTGCTCAGTGTTGTTGGTATGTTAAGACTTTCCTCTTGGGCTGGTTAGATTCTTCAGAGGAAAATCTTCTGACCTTCTCTCTTGATGGTGGAAAACGGGTTACCATTTGTTCGGCAGCTGAGCTGGAAAAGCCGTTTGGCAGTGGGTGGACTCAGTATATAAAATGCTCATTTGATCCCCCTGTTTGCAGACTGGTACTGCTTTCCCCTCACCCCACCCCTACCCCCGCCCCACTCCCCCCGGGACAACTGTGGCTGTCCAGCTTTCTACAGATGCAGGAGATACAGTTACCTGCTTGGACTTGGGGAAGGGCTCTGCGACTTATCTGATTCTTAAAAGAGAATTTCAGTTAATCCTCCTGCTTCTAGCCTCACCTTTATCCTCATACCTGGAACCCAACTTTGTAGTGCCTTTGGGGGAGGTATGTGGTTTATTGTGTAAACTGGTTGTTTCTAAAACTTAACATGGGATTCAGCTTTCTCAATTCTGTGTGGTCATTGCTGATCCATTTGCTTTCCAGTTGAAATCTTTTGTTGTGTTTCTTTTGCTTCTGTTCTCTTTGGTCCTTATGATTTCATATCTTTAAAGACCCTCTGCTGTGCTTTTAGCTTTGATAGAAATGAAAGTATAATCTGTCATTTATGGGAAATTCTCATATATCCTTTTTATTGATTGTTTTTGAATTATTTATTTTTGGATGCGCTGGGTCTTCATTGCTATACACGGGCTTTCTCTAGTTGCAGTGAGCAGGGGCTACTCTTCCTTGCAATGCGTGGGCTTCTCACTGATGTGGCTTCTCTTGTTGTGGAGCACAGGTTCTCGGTGAGAGGACTCAATAGTTGTGGCACATCAGCTTAGTTGCCCTGCAACATGTGGAATCTTCCTGGACCAGGGCTTGAACCTGTGTCCCCTACATTGGCAGGCGGATTCTTATCCACTGCACCACCAGGGAAGTCCTTGTATATCTTTTATTAAGAGGAAAGGAAATCCAATACCCTTTTCTATAGGCAATAGATATTAATTGGTTTAAAACTTCAGAAAAAATATTTTTAAAGTTTAATTATCTATAAATTATAAATTAATTTATGATTATATTATATATTATAAATAACCTATAAATTAATTATCTATAAATGGACCACTTATAAAATTTTGATACACGTTCATTCTGACTTTTCTGGATGATACATAAACATGTGATTCATTTTTATTTTTAGTTTGTGTGGAAACTATAAATTATGCCCATAGAGATAGAAAGCAGCCACCTGCTTTCACTGCCTAGGATGCTGTGCTCAGTGAATGAGTTAGATGGTAGGGGCTCAGGAAGCCCAAGGTCAAGTTGGCTCCTGAGAAACAACGTGTCCTGTCTGCAACTTTCACTTCATTTGCCCTCTATCCTATAACCAGGGCGTGACACTTGAAACCTTGTCACCACCACTTTGTAGTCATTGTTTAGTCGCTCAGTCGTGTCCAACTCTTTGTGACCCCATGGACTGTAGCCCGCCAGGCTCCTCTGCCCATGGGGATTCTCCAGGCAAGAATGCTGGAGTGGGTTGCCATTTCCTCCTCCAGGGGATCTTCCCAACCCAGGGACTGAACCCGAGTCTTGCATCTCCTGCATTGGCAGGTGGTTTCTTTACCTCTGAGCCACTGGGGAAGACCCACCAACACTCTAAAGGGTAATTTAAAAAGATTGTCCAGGTTGTAAAATTAGCTCCCTCATGGACAGCTACTTCTGTCTCTGTCTCTGTCTCCCCTTTCAGACCCTAAGTGGCCAGGAACACTCAGTATGCAGGGCAGGGAGCACTCCAGTTCTTCCCCTTTGTGTGTGGGCCCATCAGCCTTTCACCTTCTAGTTGATTCAAGGGCCTATTATTTTTAACAACTTTATTGAGATATAATTCACATGTCATAAAATTCACTCATTCAAAATGTACAATCCAGTGGGTTTTTAGCATATCCAGAGTTGTGCAGCCATCACCATGATCAATTTTAGAAAATTTTATCAACCCCCAAAAGGAAACCCATGCCCATAAGCAATTGCCCCTATTTCCTCCCAAATCCCTCAGTCCTAGTCACTCATCTACTAATCTACTTCCTATCACTAATCTACTTCCTATCACTATAGATTTGCCTATTTTAGGTATTTCATATTTTCATTTTATGTTTTCAAGATTCACTTATGCTGTAGCATTCATTTTGTTAGTAGTGTCCTTTGAAGCCTACGAGTCTTTAATTTGATGATGTCTAGTTTGTCTGTTGCCTGTTTTGTCATTGTGCTTTTGGTGTCATGACTAAGAAACTGTTGCCTAATCCAAGTCTCAGAGATTTACACCTTGTTTTTCTGTGAGAGTTCTGTAGTTTCAGCTCCCACATTTTAGGTCTATGATCCATTTTGAGTTGATTTTTATGTATAGTATAAAGTCAAGCTTTATTCTTTGTATGTTGATATGTAGCTGCTTTAGCACCATTTGTTGAAAAGATTCTTCTCTCCCGATTGAATTATCTAGGCACCCTTATCAAAAATCAGTTGACCATGGAGGGCTTCTCTGGTGGGTCAGTGGCTAAGACTCTGCTCTCCCAATGAAGGGGATCTGGTTCCATCTCTGGTCAGGGAACTAGATCCCAGGTACTGAAACTAAGATCTGGTGCAGCCAAATAAATATTTTTAAGATTTTCCCCCCTGAATCCTCAACTGTATTCCATTGACCTGTATGTCTATTTTTATGCCAGCAGCACAGTCTTGATGACTATAGCTCTTGGCTTATTGCAGTTTTGAAACTGGAAGTGTAAGTCTTCCAACTTTGCTCACTTGGAAAATTGTTTTGGCAAAGTTTGATCCCTTGAATTTTTATGTGAATTTTAGGATCAGCATGTTAATTTGTGCCACCCCCCCAAAAAAACCAGCAGTTGGAATTTTGATAGAGATTACACTGAATTTGTAGGTCTCAAGATCTTGTTTTGTGTGTTTGCTTTGGGCACCGAAATGCATCTTGGGAATCTGCCTTTCTTATTCTTCTCCCAGTCAATGAAGTTATCATTGCCCTTAGTCCTGAGAGAAAAGGAGAAAAGTTCATGTAAACATTTACATAGATGTTAGCATTCATATAAATGTTAGCAATT